CTCTCTCTCTGCCGGTCCGCCGCCCCGGTCGGTCCCGAGACCCCGCGCCGCCCCTCCCCGCGCCACCGCGCCCTCGGGTCTCCCTCCTCACTGGCTGCGTCCGGGCGTCCGCGCCCGTGTCACCGCCCCTTGGCGGGCTCCGTGCTTCCCCGCTTCCTGGAGCTGCGGGCCAAGGAGGCTCCGGGAGGGGACGGGCTGGGGGTGTCGCCGTCCCCCTCCCGACGTCGCAGGCTCCCTAGGCCGAGCGGACGCCAGGGAGAGGGGCTGGCTGGCGCCACGGCCGGATGGGTTGCACCGTGAGCTTGGTGTGCTGCGAGGCGCTGGAGCCCGGGCCTCCCTGCAGCCCCCAGCCCCCGGGGAGCCCCCCGGCCCCCGCACCGCCCAAGTGTCGGGAGCCCCGGGGCTCGGGCCGCGCAGAGAGCAGGCGGCTACTGCTTCAGGTAGGGCGCCGCGCGGGGTGGGTGGCGGGCAGAGCCTGGCTCACCTGAGAGGTAAAGAGCCCCGCTGGGAAAGCACCGGACGGCGGTCGGGGGCTCTGGAGCCAAGACCAGGTGAAGGGGCAGCGAGTTAGGCCGAGGTCTCACCTGGCTGTCTTGTGCCCTTGGGAGAAGGGTGATGTAGGACCTGACTCTTAAAAGCACAAATAGTTCAGGTGAAGTTTTAGGAGCCACCCAAGAGGGGCAGGGCTGGGCTTGCTGGGAAAGGCACTGAAAGAGTGAATTTCCCCCAACCTGGTCCAGGAGTTGACTGTGTGTCCCACAGGTAGCTGGGGCTATTGCTTCTGACCAGGGCTCTGTAGCCAGGAGGGAGGGGACCTTCTGAGTCAAGGAGAGCCCCATTAGAGCCAGGACTGACCTGAAGATGGTGGGGGAGCTAGAGCCTCACCCCTGCATTCTCTGTTCTGGGTAAGTCTTGGAGCCTTGCGAGTAGAAAGCTGATGCAAAGGGGTGGGAATAAGCCAGTGCAAGGAGGCATGTGTTTGTTCTGGATGGGCCTGTGTCTGTGAACCAGCAGACCTGGTTTACGTGTGGGCATTGGATTTCTCCAAGGAGGAGGAGTGGGGGAGATATTTGGGGTTACCAGGGACTAGACAACACTGCTCTAGGCTCCCTGTGTAATCCCAACCTACCTTTCTGTTTGGGGGCTGTGAAGGCTGCAGCCTCCTAAGATTTGTTTGCTGTGTGGGGTTTGGATTATGCTGGAGTCTACCTCCCTCCCCCTGGGGCTCACAGAGTTTGGGCAACTCAAAATGTATGGTGTAGCCACAGCCCCTTCCCCTTATCCCCCTTCCCTGTGGCAGCCAGTGAAACCAAGTGTGTGCGTGCACGTGGGCGTGGGCGCGCATGCGCGTGTATGTGTGTGTGCGCGTGCACACCAAAGTGACCCCCTCCACCCCACTTGACTGGATGTCCCTCCAGGTCATAGGTTTGGCATATTCGTGGTTGTACTCCACAGTGCCAGGCATAGGGCTACACTTATAAGGCAAACTCTGTCCTTCCCAAGCTCTAGCTCTGGTCCTCACCACTATGACCGACCACGGTGAGGGACAGCCTTGGTGGGGTGTTGTTGTTGACTGAGTCCTCACAGTGGCTGGTGGCCCAGGGATGATCCTGTTGGAGGCTTGAGCTTAGCTTTGGGCCCTGGGGGAAGGGTGAGGCCCTGGGTGTGTCAGCTGGGCATCCCAGACTATGGCCTCTTGGTCCCGGCAAAGGGACAGAGAGTGAAGGTGACATGGCAGAACTCTCAGACTTTAGGGCCATCCCCAGGGGTCATCAGGACTCCTCGCCTGCCTCAGAGCCTCATGAACTCTCCTCTGACCTTGAAAGGTTTCAGGGGGAGGTGAGTTCACAGTCTCCCTCCCTTATCTGTTCCTATCTCAGACCCTTCCTGACTTTACTCTCTGTTGGGGGATCTCTGGACTCCCCATCTCCCTACCTTCTCCGCGCTGCATGCGGCCAGCAGTGGGGTGGGTGCCAGGGGGGCCAGCTGAGGGTGGGCAGGGACAGGGACAGGCAGGCAGGGCTGAGATGGAGGAAAGAGCCAGGGGCACTGGAGGTGGGAGATCAAGGAGCGGGGAGAAGGTGGAGGCGGGCCCGGTGCCTGCGTGGGCTTGTGCTGGCCACAGGGACGGGCATGGGGACGAGTGTCTGTCTGCATTTGGATGAGCTGGTTTTCTGAGCAGCCTCTTGAGAGACCCTGGCGCTTACGCATGACTCAGCCCGCCTTTAGCTGCAGGATGAAACTCTGTCTCAGTCCCAGCTCGTGCCCACCTCTCCTCTGGCTACCGCTCCAGCAGGGGACGCTGTTGGTGGTGCTTCCTCCCCTCGCCAGGGCCCCCGTTCACACCGCACCTCTCAGGAGACCTCAGCCACCCTGAAAAGGGCAGCCAGGCTGCCTATCACCTCACCACAGGCGGTGTTTTACCATCTTCTTGTGGTGGATAAACATCTCTCGGGCTCTCAGCCTCCCTCAGGAGTTAGGGCTTAGAAGCTACTCAAGCATCTGGGCTCCCAGCCAGGGCACACTCCTACTGACAGTCCTGCCACTGAAACGCCACCATTCCTGCCACAGACCCTTCCACCCCCCATTCCATAGGCCAGACTTCTCTCCTTGGGCCACAGCCTGTGCTCACATCACCTGTCTCCACCCTCAGCCTCACCCCTCCTCTCTCCCCTCTGGCA